AGCAGGAATAAGCACACACTCTCAAATGCTCAGCTGCAAACTGAATAATACGCAATTTGATTTGTGTGCTCTCAAACGTTTTGGTGGGGACATATACACTGGCCAGTTTATTAGGTACACCTCTACAAATTGCACTTCAGTGCAACATCTTGCCTTAACATCTGTTTATGAAGCTCAAAGGGTTGGTTTTTGGAGAAATTGTAAATGTAGAAATTCACATGTTGTACTGGACTACATTATATTCAGAGGTGTCCAGCTACATACATGAGGGGGTCAGAATATTAGGAACACCTAAATATAATTTAGTTAAAGTACAATACCATCTTTAACTGTGAGCTTAAAAATAAACAATTGAATTTATACGTTTGACAGTTTCTCCAAAAACCAACATTTTGACCTTCATAAACAGATGTTAAGGCAAAAGTGTTGCATTGAAATGCATGCAATTGTACAGGTGTGACTATTAAAGTGGCCAGTTTCCATACACTCCCCACCAGGGTCTAAACTTGACAGAGTTAAGCAGTATGAAGGTAAATCCCCACCAAAACACAGGGAGCACTACTCGGTTTGCAACGCTGCATTTGAGAGCTCACAGGCCTGTAAAAGGAGAATCAGATTTGAGAGTGTAGTCTTGGCCATGCGTGTATCTGAGTCTGTGCTCTCTTTTCCAAGCAAAGACTCAGAAACAAGCGAACATGGCCATGATTACACATTCCAATCTGTGCCTGTGCATTCTCTGTTATAAACTGAGTAGCGCTCGCTGTGGTTTGTGCACCCTCAAACATTGTTGGCACTGTAATTCACAAAAGTCACTGGTAAGTACATGATTATATAATACTGCTTCAGAAAACTAACTGTAAAGGTTAAATGAGCAATTATTATCAACCTACCCCCCTGTTTCTATCTTTCTCTGGCTAGGTGGAGAAAATCATCATGACTTTGCGTCCAGCCATGAAGCTGCGGTTGCGTTTCGTCACACACAGCTACATGATGGAGACTTCATCATCTGCTGCCTCCGCCTCCACACCTCAGCCCCCTCCCTCCTCCCTGGCATCGACCTCCACCACGGCCTCGCCCTCCTCCACACAGCACACACATGCACCTATGTAGGGAGGTTAACAAACACAGTTACAATCATGAAAATGGACATTCTCACACACACACTGCAATCAAATGTGAGTTGAAACATTTTGCATTAGCTGTTCTCCAACTTGTGTTTTGTAAAATAAGGATTATTGTACCTTTATAAATAAGACCCCTGGAGCACTGGTTCTCTGTCTTGAGCATGATTTATATTTGTAAGTGCATAAAAAATTCAAGAAAGTCATAAATGTTTCCTTAGCAGCATGTTATCACCGACAAAATTCAGGCATACTGATACATTTACACAGCATCTCTGAGCTCTAATTTAGCAAAGACAACACTTTTTACCTACTGGATCTGTACTTAGTTTATATTGTACATTGTTCATTAAAAATACCTAAATATTCAGGTTTTGGGTTCTTGTATTTCTACTTGTGCACATATGCAAAAGGGAAGTTATGCCCCAGCATCTGTTCTTTAACTTACTGCACCCAAAATTCTGCACAGTTTGTTGTCCTGATGACTTCAGCCTGCTGTCTGTAGAGTGTGAATACCACATGATTTCTGTCATGTAGCTAACCATCTTTCCTCATACACTGGAGAAACAGCTTTTCCTTAGGTGATCACCCTCAACCACTTAGCTTCAGAGAGCATTGTACTAAACCACTGTGCTGTATAAAATAAAATGTAAGTGGCCTTACCTTACACCAGTAGGGGGAGTCCAGCACGTGTGGTTGCCTGCAGTCCTCTCCTCCCAGTCTTTTTATTTCTAAAGTATCAAGAGGCAGAGGCATTAGAGACCCTATTGACTCAAATAGATTTTTTCCTGTCTCTCTGCCAGAGGGATATCTCAACATCTCAAAAGATATCCAATGAATTTGGTGGGAAGCCCAGCTTTAAGCCAACAACACTTGGGATTTTTGCCATTTGGCAAGCGGTAATGAAACTAATAGTGAGAGAAAGACTTTGTCCAAATCCTAGGAGTATACTTGTTGGGTTAGTAAATCAAATTATCCTTAAAGTGGTGCTTTTGGGTGTTATGGCACAATGGAAAATTAAAGCATTTATAAGTGATTATAACTTCAAGTCTCATTTTACCAATAATGGTGTTTAAAACTTTTTTTTTTCTCAAAAACCTGAATGCTAGGTGAAGTAACAAGCACGTCACTGGCAGCAGAAATAAACTTTGTATCAAGCAAAAAAAAAAAAAAACAAAAAAACATGCCCTTTAAAGACCTATCACCAAAATAACCAAAAAGCAGTTCTTAGTGCAGTCATTGGTTGAAAGCTTCATGTCTGAGGGGTGCTTGGGATTGTGCCTTCTACTCCTTTACAGCTCTGTACATCAAACTAAACATGTAAACAAATGTACCAAAAGCTCCATTAACAAAACCAAGAGGCTACAGTTATGCCAGCAGGTCTGAGGCTGTGCTTTGGCTAAATGTTAACATCAGCATGATAACGTGCCGTCATTTGTTTCAGTGAGGTTTAGTAGGTATAATGTTTACCATGGTCATCTTAGTCTAGCATGCTAACTGCCAATTAGCACTAAGCACACTGATGCATGATGGGGATGCTGTCAATTTGTAATACTGGCCTCTGCCTTGGTTAAAAATGTAGACTATTAAAACATTTTCAAAAATTTCAATTTTAAAGAAAAAAAAACAACCTATACTACCTAATTTAACGAGCTGTGGAAAAAAAAAACTTTTGCATAGCAGCTCAATCTGCTGCTGTTTGAATCTTCACCAGCTAATGATCAATGTCATACCTACTTCCTGATACACGCCTATCCTCCATTTAACTGGGTTTCCTCATCCATTATGTTACAAGCAGCACACTGGCACAACCAAACAGAGCTACTGTTGAATCTATAACCACACCCACCAGTGAAGACATGGTGTACCAATGTTTAACATCATTAATCATTAAAATGTATAGGCAGCCACCAAGAGGAGGTAAAAGGCCTGTTTCTGGTCTCTTCTGACATGGAACTACATGTTTATTATACATTGGCGCCAGAGGTAGAGACTAGTTTTACTGTTCAGTTCTCATGAGTGTGAAGTCTTACCTACAATTATCCTTTGTCCTCTGTTGAGCAGCATCCTTATTCCCATGAGCAGTGGTTCCATCCTGATGCAGCCCTAGTGTTTACATACTGTGGAAGAAGAGGAAGAAAAGGTCAGTCATTCTTACTCATCCACTCCTAATTACATTGCTTCTTCACCAGGTCAGCTGTAAATTAATTACATGAACATTATGCAATCTCTTAATTACATTAGAGACCTGAGCAGCTCTTGAGATTTTCATTGTGATGACAGTACAAATTCAACTCTTAGTCACCCTCACTTGTGGCTTTTAGAGGAGAACGGCTTCACACTGAGAAATATTGATTTTAGTTTTCCCAGATATTATGATATCATTCAAGTTTCATGTATACCAGGTCAACTGAGACTTAATCGTATCAAGTAATGTCATGAACTACGGGCATATAATCTCATTCTTTTTTGTGTGCCTGTGCATGTATATGAGTCATCACATGACCTCTGTACAAGACCCTGGCTGAGGGGTAGTTCAGGGTACAGCGTGCTGTTGGGCCTGTGGTTTAAACATTCAACTCTGGCCCTAAATTTAACGTGGTAACATGCAGGCCTGTGGATGCAGGGAGTTTCATATTGCAGCTGTTGTTACATACAGACAGGTGGCAAACTAAAGGGAAAACCTGAATAACTGAGTGGAGAAACATAAATGCACATGCTGGTATTGTTTGGATCCACTTGTTCCCTTAGAGGGAAGAGTCACTGCAAATCAGTACAAAGTTGCTCTGACTGATCACCTTTATCTTATCAACATGTTCTGGTGGCCCAACACCTTACTAAAACATTGTAGGCTGGTTTTTCCTTTTCATTTGTCACCCATCTGTATGTGTGTTTCTGTTTCAGCTCTACTTGTGTTGCATGGGAAGCCCGGGTTTAAATTTAGCATGGCAGCATATCATGCTTATGAGCTGTAGATGGGCCGGTCTGCTTCAGTCCTGTACCTTCTCATCCTGTAGGCTGTTCCCTCAAATTTTGGTGCCAGTATAGTAAATTTATCACATCACATTGATAAACTGGCTATAACTGATATTTGTTTTATAACAGTGTATGAACAACAGTGTAAAACATGGCAATGTGAAAGGGGTCATCCGTAGTGTTGAACCTGAATCAGTTACGCCAGACAGCCGTCGTCAACAAAATTCATTGTACACAACCTGGTCAGCACCAAACTGCAATTGGACACAGTTAGCAACTTGCTGTTGAACACATGGCAGCACACTGCCCTCAAGAGTTGGTAGAGACCAAAAACAGAGCTAAAAGAAGAGGAAGTATTGGACTTAACATGACTCGGAATGAAAGGAATGTTTCTACAGCAGGTTTAAATTAGGTGGCTAGAGTACAAACCAAACGCAAGATTGAACATAACGGGATAGTAAGCAAATCTGCCTTTTTTTTTTTTTTAGCCAGGCTAATGCACAGCAATGTCAGTCAGTCCACTAGGCCTTAAATATCTCAACCACTATTGAATGTATTGCCATAAAAATTGTACAGACATTCATTGGCATGACAGGAAGCATCCTACTGACTTTGGTGGTCCCCTGACCTTTCCTCCATGGAGGGCCACGTTTTGGTTCACAGAGAAATGGCTCAACAACTGGAGCAACACTGTCAAAGTTTGGTGTAAAATATACATGCCGATATTAGCCTTTAGCTCAAAGCACTGCAGTGTGATACTTTCTAGTGTGAACAACCTACTCCTTTGAATGTGTGACTATTTGACTGCCTACACATTTCTATGGGCAGACATCCACAATGTTGTGGCCAACAGACATGATGGCATTCAGTGAAAAGGAGGAGTTTTTGGCTGTTCCGCAAACAGTCACTATACTTACGGTAATTTCAGAAGTTGCATGCACTTTATTCTCAATTGGTCATCACATAAAATAAACAACATTATTTGTCTTTCAGCCAATTTTATAGCACTTTTCTGTTAATAAGTCTTAGTTTGACCCTTGAGTACTTGGTTTTATGACAAAATTAGTCACGAAATGCATCCCTATACAAAGAAATTGCTTCTTTGCCCTTTTGTTTCTCTCTTCCTTCAAAGAGCCAAAATGCTCCGCACACACAAACACTGCCTTGTAAACTCAATATGCAGTATTTCTTCTGTTGCTCTTTCACATTCAATTATTACTAAATGAGAAGCTCTCAGTGAAACACACATGCACCAACACAGACACACAGCATGCCCATTTCCTCATCTGGGGTTGCCATGGTAACTGTGTGCACCTGGGGGAAGGCGAGCGAGCTCATTGTGTTTGCTTGCCTGACTTAAAGTGTGTGTGTGTGTGTGATGATCTCCTAACCCTAACACTGAATTTCATCTGACAGTCTGACATCTTTGACAAGAAGCAGAGCAACAGAGGAGAGGGTGAGACAGTGATGAGAAGTGAGAATGGGAGAGAAGGGAGAGATTGACCAAGGTGACAGATGTGTGGGTGTTGACTGTTGTCCTTCCTGACACATAAAAAAAAAAAATACATAAAAAACCATTTCATGTTGGAGATGAACTCAGAGGAGATTCATCTTAAAATCAGACAAGTGTAAGTGTGTATTTGGAAAGCAGAGCTTAATGATGCCAGAGCAATTACTGACATGATTATCATTTACCACACACTAATTAGGATTACTGTGGAGGACAGAAACAGATGGGCCAGTGAACAACAGGCTCACACTAATCAATATAATAACGAGATAATCAAGAGGTTAAGATGACTGAAAGCAACATAATGAAAGGAGGAGAGAACAGATTTTATCAGAATGACACCCTTTTATTTCCTACATCAGAGGCTCTGAAAACGGTTTCAAGTCATGTATAACACTAAGCATGCATGAGCAAACAAGCAATAATCAGCAAGTCCACGTCTCTGTTCCACTGGCTTCTCTAACTAAATGCAATCGGTCATTAACATTTCTTTTGTCTGTCTTGTGGAAAAAAAAATGAACTGTGTGCTGAGCTTTACAATGATTTCTTTGTAAGCACAGGAAAAAAACTACAGCTCTTATTAAAATGTACAAGTACAGCAGTGGAGGTACTTGTCAGCACAACCATAAAACTCACCAATGCTCTTATTTTTTTTTTTTTTTACCTGTAATCTCTGCTGTCTAAAAACTTTTACAGCATTTGAAATGTCCGAGCTAATGGTGGACCCTCGAGTTGCACAAGGTTTTCCATCTCCTGTCATTTCGCCTGTGAACGTTTATAGGGAATAACGTTGTTCTAACAGCTACAAAAAACAAACATATTAAAGCAATATTAGATCACTTTTGCCAAAAGCAACAATTCTCTAAGAACAGGAAGTGAGCCACATGACACACTGCTGAGACCGGCTCCTTTTCGAGGCTGAAATTTTAGTTATTAGTGTTGTTACAAATGTTAATGGGATGTTTCCTTATCAGCAAACAAGTTCACAACCGTCATCACAATAAACAGACGTCTCCTGTGAACTAACCAAAACTTCTCTAGCTGTGTCTAAGGAAGGACAAACAGTGAAACAGTGACAGGGTCATGGATGATGAGGTTCACCTACTGCTACCCTACATATGTTAAAATGGTTGAAAATGAGAAATACTGTTCATTGGCATCTATGATGAAAACATTCAGCAACTGTAGTGGTGATATCACACCTAGAGTTGGGGGGGGTTGCTGCTGCTGAATTTGTCTAACCAATAATCTCCAACTTGTCCTCAGGACCACAGTTTTCATTCCTTTTACATAAAGTTTTTCCACTGAATGGTCGACACAGTCCTGCTCTTCCTGACAGTAGAACTGTGGAACAGTGAGCTGCAGGCTTTCACACAGATTGGTGTGTAATTTCCATACAAATGCACTCTGCAGCTTCAGCTGATTAGAGCTGCTGGATGCCAAAACTTCCAAAGCATTATGCAGAGAAGGTGGTTTGTGCCATTAGCACCGACACTACTGATGACTGCTCATTAAAGCTACTTTAAATTTCCTAATAATGAATCCGAAAGCTTTATTTTGGACTAACACAATGTCTTAATCCTCACACTACACATTTCCATCTGGGCACACTCTGCTGAGCAGATAATGAAATTTAAAACATAAAACAATGAGTTCTTTTTCATTGCCAACTCAGGGTTGTGGTGATTAACTTCTGAGTGTAAACAATTTTAAATTGAAGACTTCCAAACTGTGTGCGTGCGTGTGGCCAGATGGTAACTTGTACTGTGATGATGAAGGGAGTGGACATTATCCTCTTCACTGATGATTAAGCAGTGGGAAACAACGTTGGCCTCCTGTTGATAGGTTTGGCTTGAAAGCTGTGTGGACATTTTGAAAAATCAACAACTTTGCTCTAAAGTAATGGTGATTATTAGGCAGAACAAAAAACGGCAAAGACACTCAGATGTCACAATGTGACAAAATCTCTCTTCTGTGGTGATGTTTTTATTTTCTTCACCACTGAGCTTCTCTCTTGCCCAAACAAAGCTTGAACATATTCCACATCCTGTGTAGGGTGTTTGTCCGGCCAAGAGTTGGCTGTATCAAAGCCAACTTTGATTGGGGGGGGTGACTAATAAGGACAAAACCTTTGAGCAGCTGTGTGAGTCTCAGCGACTTCCAAAACTGAGGCAGCACAGAGCAGGAAGGATTATTAGTATTTCATATCCAATCTTTCACAGCTGTAAACCAAGTGTAATGTGGCTCAGACCAATTTTTAGGGCTGCATTTACCCCAAAATCAAAGTTTAAAACCTAAACAGAATCAAATCACTTTTTCCACAAATCATTTTTAGGTCAGTGATTCATTTTTGTGCTGCTCATCCAAACGTACTGTTGCCTACTCGTACGCTCCCAGTCACACACAGACATGGCTGGTCAGTAACCACACACACACCCACACACACAAACACACACACACAACAAAGCAACAGGAGGACAGAGGCTGTCAGATACACACACTGTAATGGTTATCTGTAGTTTGTATGTCTTTCGTTTTTACATTTCTTATAATAACTACGTAATGAACGGACATGAGACTGAATATTTACGCGTTGAGCTGGTGCGACAACTCACGGTAAAATACCGTGTTGCTCTGCCGTCCACTGATTATTCACAGAATAAAACTGAGAAAATCAACTTCCTGTGTCTCATACAATGGCGCCAAAAGGCCATCACAAATTAACCCTTAAGTAACCACAGGTTTACAATAAATTTCAATTCAAATGAACTTGACACTCAGCTGCATTACTCAAATAGAACAATTTCAAATCAAACTTATGCATATTACAAAAATGGCACTCACACACACTGTTTGACAGACGACAAGAGGTGCCGTTTCTAATGCCTGCACACGTCACACAAAGCAACAAATGCACACATAAATGAAAATGCAACTTCATGGCAAAATTAAATATCACCAGTCAAAGCAACTTTATTTATATGGCACATTTCATACAGAGGCAACTCAAAGTGCTTTACATAGGCAAAGAAAAACTGTGACAGCATTAAACACTATGACAAACAACCAGTGAAGACAAAATGAAGATGAAACATGATTAAAGAGACAAAATACATAATGAAGATAAAAAAGACAAAGTAACATGATTATCTAGCAGTTACAGTGCAGCATAGAAACCGGTCAAACAAAGGCACAGAAAAACAGCAGAGTCTTCAGTTGAGATGTGGGGCACATTTAAGGTCGTCAGGAAGGTGGTTCCCTCGTAGCATAGTAGCCAACGGCAGCGTCACCCTGAGGGTTTACCAGCTGGCTGCTGCCTGAGGATCTCAGAGCCCTGCTGGGTTGGTATTCTACAAGGAGATCAAATAAGGATTTTGGCCCCAGACCACTGCAAGATTTAGAAGCGCTCTAAAAAAAAATAAATAAAAAAATTCTGTTGGTAACCGGCAGCCAGTGTTTAAGTATTTAAGAACAGGAGTGCTCAGTTCTCCTGGTTAAAACTCGGGCAGCAGTGTTCTTCTTAACTGACTAACACCATTTTTCAGAACATGCAGAATTGATTGGTGTTGTGCCTTCTAGGCTGAAGCACTAACAGTTTTGCAATTTAAATTATCAATCCATCACGGTGAACACATCCTTTTAATTATTATGATAGATTTGCATTATGATACGGCTGCAGGGACTGTTTCAGATTAAAACCTGTGGGAAACGCCAGAGTTTTTCTGTACAAGAGATGATCTGATTCAGATCACATAACTGTTTTTACAGCATTCTCATGTTTTATTGTGTTTGATTTTCTAACAAAAATGGTGAGGAGTAATGACAGCTACCACCTGAACACACCACCAGCTTCTACTGCTTTAATGTCCTTTCTGCTGACATCTATGTAATTGCTTTAAAGATTCATGTATCCAGAACCTAAACCCATTTACTTATTCATTTACAGAAAACAAATATTAACATAAATGTTGGCACCGACCACGTCTCACACAGACTCTGCTCATTCTTCAGTACTACACAGCCGTCACTGAGACCATGCTCAAACTGGAGCAGTTTTAAACAGCAGCTCAGACACCAAGACAAGCTCCTGACCTCTCTCACCCCTTTCTTTGCTTCCCCTCAGTTCAACTCTACAGAACCCACTCACACACCCTTCTTCACAAAATGGCCTTTTGCCACTGCAATAAGAAAAATCTATTCAGTACCATAAACGCCGCCTGTCACAGCTGAGGGTTTTTAAATGCCTAATTTATTGTGTGTACATGTATAATGGACTGCAGACATGAATCACTGTGTTGCTCCACTCAGTCTGTGATGGCAGAGCAGTTGATTACTAGAAAAGAAAAAAACTACACCAGCTGCATCTGCTGACTCAACCTCCGGGTCACCTCCGCAGAGAAAACACTGATTTTCTGAAAGGATGAACTCTGGACTTTGAATATTTACAAGCATCCCTGGTGAAGAGCTACAACTTCAAAGTGTAAATCAAGCAGAGTCAAGAAGCTCAGGGAGAAAAATCAGTTTGAAGGCAACATGTAGAGTTGAATGTTTAACTACTCTAGTTCTTAGCTGGCCCAGCCGCTGAACCTTTGTTATCCACATACAGAACAATATTTATTGGTCTGTTCCCCTTTCTTTACTTTAAGAATGAATTATAAACCACCAGTGGTTGGGCTATGCCCTCCTGGCAGCAGGCATTTATCATGACAAATGGCCGTTGAAGTCATTTAGAAATGATTACAGCTCATTGTTTACAATGTGAGGTGACACAGCAGTCTGTCACAGCTGCAGGACCTGGGTTAACCGTCTAGTTGTGCAACACCTTGTCTAAAAGGCCTTTGACATAATTCACAAATAGCATAGCACAATGCAAAATACTGGATTATAAATGAATATTCTGCATTTAACATATTAGTCAAGTCAAAGTACAGAAGTGTTATAGCATTAACAAAATGTACTTTAAAGTATAAAAAGCTCTCATTATACAGCAGAATAACTTGAGGTGGTGTGATTACAACCTCACTGATCAGCCACAGCATTAAATCCACCTGGCCAACACCGTGTAGGTCCCCTCACGCCACCAAAACAGCTCCGCCCATCAAGGCATGGACTCCAGACCTCAGACGGTGTCCCCTGGTATCTAGCACCAAGATGTCAGTTGTGAGGTGCGGCCCCCCATGGATTGGGCTTGTTTGTCCAGCACATCCCACAGATGCTTGATTGGACTGAGATGTGGAGTCTTTGGATGCCAAGTCAACATCTTGAACTCTTCATCATGTTCCTCAAACTATTCCTGAACCGTTTGTGTAGTGTGACAGTTGCACTGTCCT